CTATCATTTGACAATCCTAAAAATGACATTGATGCCTCTAGGGTAAAATTGCTAATTAAGTGTCATCCATGACTTCTGGTTTACTATGTAAAATAATATTAATCTTTCTTGACATTTTGATTAATGTTAGTAGAGAGACATCTGAATCTTCATTTTAGAAGTCATTGATACTTGTAAGGAAGTTAATTTTTTTTTATCAGATGAAAAATATATAAAAAAAAAGAGACAAACAAAATAAGGGACAAAGCCCACAAGAACCAAGAGAAACAGACTAGAGAAACAAATAAGCCCACAAAACCCTAGCCCTAAGTAACAGAACAACAAGGGCTCAAAGCAACCGTTGCCACCGTAGAAATAGAAATGACTGCCATCGTTGTATGGAAATCCATAGGCAAAAAAAAAACACCAACAAACTTCTGAGCCATAAGGGTGGGGGTTCAAAGAACAACCCAAAAGGTCCCGCCCCTTTTAAGGAAGCAACTAAAGAGGTTGAAGAACTGCCACCGTGAGTGAAACCTAGAGCAGGGCAGGCAACCATGGACGTCGGCGAAACAAACACAACAGGAAGAAGAAAATAGAAGAGACGGCGAGCCCGCACCATGAGACATCGCCCAATGGTATAAGAGATATCTGTCGCTAACACCCCAGAAATGCCACCACTGCAAGGATCCAATAAGAACCACCACAAAAAATGGTTGTCACTGTTGCATCTCCAAAAATGCAAAACTGAGTAACTAGCTCCAGTTCTATCCAACCATGAGCAAAACCACCACCAAGCAAGCAAAATCGCAGGGAACGCCCCTTAGATCTGATTATTGCCGAGCCAATGAACCACCTATCCATCGGCAAAACCAAGCAAAAAAAAAAAAAAAAAACAGAAATGAGACCACGACAACACAAAGCATGAACGTCTCCGCCTCCGACAAAAGTCGGAGGGGAGACGCCGTGAACCTTCACCTGCACGGACGAGACGCACTCCCACCACCCCTTGAGAGAAAACCCTTGAGAGGGAGAGACCTCAAGGAAGTTAATTAATTAATGTATTTGCTTAAAGATCTGGTTGTACGGTAACATAAATTAATCAACAACTTCAACATACTGCAATTGGCATCATAATGCACGCACAGGCACAGACATACCTTCTGTATAAGTAAGGTTCTCAGTTTCTTGATGTAATTATTTTAACACCAACCCAACTTTCATAAAAGATTATTGGTTTCATTTTATTATTGGAAGATTTGATTGAAACCTGTATTGACATGTATAAATAGAACTTTGAAGCTAACAAGGATGTACAATTGATAAGACTGAACCACTTGAACGCAGAAAAAGTATTAAATTCAAGTATTGCTGGCGATCCTTGTTGAGTAACAATACGCCAATTGTGATGCATTCTGTCTTAGAGCGAGAATACATATCTCCTGAATGACTTTTTTTTTTTTTGTGTGGCCAAAGAGGAACATCTCCTGGAATGATTTACTCAGAACCAAAAAGTGAAAAAAAAAAACTTCGAAAATTAGGTATAAGAGTATATGTCCTGCACACATTCATGATGCGTGTTAAGTGTCACCGTCAATAGAGTAAATCACTCTCTCATTTTAACCAAACATTCAAATAGTTCATCTGGTTTATGAATATTGATCTAATTTTCCATCACTCACTTCCATTTTCATGCATTTTATGAATCCAAGCTGGATGCTGATTTGTGCTTGTTGAGAGTTATCGATCCTGTGGAGGACAAATTATTTGGATAAAACCATCTTGCTCTAAATTGTAGACTATCTTTTTATTCATTGGGTGGCGTAAATATCAGCACAATTGAACCCAACTAGTTGATCACTCTCTATATCACCAAAAAATTGTGCATATTTGGTTGTAAATAAATAAGATAATCCCTTATAGTCCTGTCATATTTTTCTTGCTCATGTTGAATTTTTGCTTTGATTTGCTTGTTAATGAAAGCAATAAGTTTCGCGTACCATATATTTGCTGAATGCTGTTGTTTTTGTCTGTGAATAAATTTTCGTAGGCCTGCATCTAGAGTACATGTCGCATAAATTTTTCAAGTATGGTCTTTTGAGAATTCTGATTGAAGACCATCAAGGATTCACAATTTAAGGGGCCAATTTAGACATAAAATGGAATAAAATTACATCAAAAACAGCAAAAAATAATTTTATAATTAAAATATCTTATGTGCGTCTCGATAAAAAATATCATTATATAGGTTATTTTTGTTGAAAATCATTAATGGAAAGTGATGACAAATAGAAACCTTAAATTTATCTTTACTTAAAAAATGTTGTTAGTATAGTTATTATGAGTGATATTTATTCCGTATTATTTATTATTATTTTTTGACAAAAGTTATTTAGCAATTATATATCCTTTGAAAAAGAGAGATGATAGAACTTGGTAACCAAGAAAATAAATATTCAAATAAGAATAACTAATAAATAAATAAAGAGATAATTAAATCATAGAAAGATTCACAATTATCTTAATTAGTGTTTTACATTTGACGACTTCCTTGAATCATGGTTGAATCGGATTGTTAACTGTTTTGTTCATTAGCTCTGCATATATAGCTGCACATCTTCTTGTATGTTTTATTCAAGGAAAAATTTATTCTTAACCTTTTGTTGCCTCGTGAAACTGGTATCAATGAGTTATGATTGATGATGTAATATTATTCCAAAAATTTAAAAAATGATGCAACATTAATGTTGTCATATGATAATCTTTGACCAATGGTTGATATTTAGTTGAAAAATTTCAACTAAATTAAATTAAAGAGCAATTTTTATTTTGAAAGTTTTTCTAAATGAGAAATTTATATCTTCAATTTTCGATTAACACAATGTTTTTAAGTTATTATCATTTAAATCAGAAAAGCAAAACATCATAACTTGTTATCAATATTGAAAAATGGTCGGTATCTTTAAATTTTGACAAAAAAGCTTATCGAGGTTGCTTGGGCATTAAATCAACTTTGTCTCAGCACTCTACATACTTTCTCTTGAGTAAAATCCGGCTTGTCCTTATTTTGCTTATAAGATATTCCAAACATGTGTCTATGCGAAGGTGTCAGGTTAAGCAGGCTTAGCCAAAAAACACATGTGTATATATATGTATATATATAAACTTTTTCAAACCTACTTGTTGGCAACATTAGCTTGGATTTTGACTTAGAAATATTCAATATAATTCAACTCAAAAACATTGTGTTAATTAAAAAAATTTAGAATACCAACTGCTTATCCAAATAAACTTTTGAGGGCAAAATTAGTTTTTGATTCTAGTCAGATTTTTTCAACTAATAATTAGTGTTACTTAAATATTACCAAAAGGTAATATTGCACTATTTTTCCAAACTTTTAAAATAACATTGTACCATTCAAAAGTTAAGGCAGGCAAAAAACGTTCCACATAAATTTTTCTTTAAAACCCTTTTAAGCTTTTATTCAATTAGTGGCCTCATAATTGTATTATTTGTCTTTCACCATCATTCGCTCTTACTTCATTCTTAATTTCTTATTTTATTATCCTTTCATTGTTCATAAAATTTGAATAAGATCGAAAGCACTAGCACAGGTGCAATATGAATTAGTTGGTTTCAATACCTCCTAATTAATTATATTATATATGTTGGCAAATCATCGGGTGTGTGTGTATATATATTCTGGCAAAAAAAAAAAGTGTGTTTATATATATTGAGTTTAATGAGTTGGTTAAAAAAGAGAGAGAGAGAGAAAATTACATTAAAATTCTACATAAAAAAAATTAGTTGCTGTAAAATTTATTGACAATTGAACTGAATTATATTGGCAATATAACCAATTATCAGTTTAATTCAATTGTTAATAAATTTTATAATAATTAATTCTTTTGTATGAAAATTAATTGTAATTTTCTCTAAAAAAATATATTGAGTTTAATAATGAGAGATTTTTTTAAAAAAAATAATAACGCATTTCAATATAAACGTTTTCCTCCAAAAGAGTAGCAAGTTGACGAAGGCGGCAAGCTGATGGAAGTGGGACCCGTTCCGAACAACGAGGAAATGTCGCCGGCGGTGAGGAAGCCATTCAAGAATCAGGAAGCGTCGTTTTCTTGCTCAACAACCTTCCATTTGACGCTGATGATGATGCCCCTGGGGTGAAAATGCTAATTAATTTCTATGCATGACTTCTGATTTTGTACCGTTTAAAATTTACTCAATCTTTCTGGAATAATTTGAGTAAAAAGACGTATGAATCATCATCCAGTCATTAATAATGTATTGCAAGAAAGTTATAATCGATTAATAATGATATCCGCTAAAAGAACAGTAAAACGAATTAATCAAATAGTATGGAGATCACGAAAGAGAAATTTCTTGTAAGATAATCAATTATAAGCTCGGATAGAAGTAATAGTGGAAGTTAATAACAGTACAGCTACGAAAGAGACTTTCACGGCTGTACTCTGTACCAGTGCAATGAACGGAAAGGAAAATCGAAGGAATTGCGGACGAACCTTTTCATTTTTGCGTTGTTATCGTTATGAATTACATATTATTACAATGCCAATTGGAAAACTCAAGTTTCTGACTATCAGATTATGGAAAGTCAACTAACAAGTGCTTATGCAGGCTCAGCCTAACCTCCCATATCATATTGAGAATCTTGCGGCAACTTACATCTCGGTTGGTGATTTCAAACTCAATGTTCTCTATTTTCAAACCAATCTAGATATCGTAGCTCTCCTGGAAATGTGATGAACTATAATTGATCAATAGAAATTCCCCTTATCTTGCAATCGTTTTGCAATCTTAAGCTTCATTTCTTGGTTTGTGGTCTGATACTGCTGCCAATCAATTAGTAATTTGAACAGTAAGCTATAAGATGATTTTCTTGACGTTATCGTTACACATGTCTTCCACTTGCTTGATATTTGTCTCCTTAAGCTCATTTGTCATTTCACACAAAAACCTAAGCTTTACTCCTTCCAATTTGGTCATGGTTGTAATGTTTTCAGCCACTGAACAAATTTTATCGAGCAAACTTCATTCTGCTGGTGTGTACGTGCTGTCTTTGTCAATTTTGGGCCCAAGGGTTACCATGAGATCAAACCCAATTGGAGCCCTGTAACTCGACCGGCAAGATTTGAAGCTTTGTTACGTGGGTAATATGCTTACGTGATACATCTGAAGGCAATATTGTCCTGCTATTGGCACTAGTGTGAGTTCATTATGATACTTAATCTGTTATGCCAAGTAAATCTTAATACAACACTTTTGGATCCTTGTAGGTGAGTTATTCCAAAATGGAATGAAAAGGGATCCTGTGACTAATGAAGTCCTCTGGCATAAAATCACTGACTTGTCAAGTTTATTGGCTAATTTGCCTGCAAACTCAAGGAAAATAGGTAAACAGAGATGGCCTTGGCATTTTTACTATGTTGATTTCTTAAGTAACTAGCTGCCTGCTTTGTTTGATTATGAATTTAGGCTGCTTGCATGGAGCTACTTCACAAGGCTCAGCTTCAATCAACTTTCAGGACTACATTAAAAATGCTTCTCTTATGCAGTCTTTTGTTTTTGTGGTGTGTAGCAAGAATTGAATCTTTCTTTCTTTTCTGTCACATCATTTTGCAATTAAGAATGCACGATTTGAAAATTAATGTGTTTAGGTAGGCCAAATTGCCAATCAGGAGATTGAGGGATTCCTTGATGAATTTGTGAAAGGTATAGTTTTTGTGTATCCAACTATTCTTTGTTCTCTTCCATATTCATTATTTTCTACAATTATCAATTTGCACATGAAAATTGCTAGCTACATCTCAGAACGACTTCCACATACAGCAATTGGCATCAGCATGCACGAGCCCACATATTCCTTGAAAGTAATGCTGGTGGTTTATTGACACAGTATTGAAACCACCAAACCGTCTTTCGTATAAGGTTGCTGATTTCATTTTATTATACGAAGCTTTGATTGAAACTTGTATCAACATAAATAGAACTTTGAAGCCAATAAGTATTGTACACTTGGCAAGACTGAGCTGCATGGGGGATGAAAAATGTTGAATTCAATTATGATCTTTGTTAGTAACTATTCAGTAATTGTGATTCACTCTGTTTTGGGGCAATATTTACACATGACTAAAATGTTTTTAAAAAAAAGATTCTGAAGAGTAGAAGAGTATCTGAACTCTGCACATTCATGATGTGTTTCAATGACTTTACTGTCATTGCCTCATTGATCTGATTTTCCCTCATTCCCTAGTTTTATTGGCTTGCAGTTTCTGAATACGAGCTGGTTCCAACTTATTGCTTGTCCAGAGTTATCAAGGCGATGGAGGACAACTGGAATTTTTGAATAAACCATTTTGCTCTAAATTGTTGACAATTTCTGTTTGATCGTGTGGTGTAAACGTTAACACAATTGAACTAGCTGATCTTCTCTACTGCAACAAAAATATGTTGATATCCGGCTGGTAAATGCATATGATATTCCCTTATAGTCCTTTCCGGTGCATGCTCATAGCGAATGTTTCTTTGATTTTTCTTTTTTAATTAAAGTAATACGCTTGTTGTTCCTATATTGCAATGGTACATCGTTGTCAATTTATAATTGATAGTAATAGATAGACATGAAACATTGATTTGAT